CCTCGTCCTCCCATTCCCTTGTCTATCGATTCTATTTAATGGAAAAGATTAATTGGGAATTTTTTCATGCCCGGGGAGGAGGGTGAATTAATATCAATCGAAAAATCAAAGGTCTTTTAGCGAGAGGGATTTCCGAAAAAAAAAAAGTTTGGCATACTTTCGCTTCATGTACAACGGATTTTCGTTTTTGTGTGATTTGCGTTATTTCGTCTTTTTCGGATTTAGTAAATACGACGTGCTGCGAATTACGCGTAAATAAATACGAGACAGTAATTTTGGATTACGTTAAAAGTGCATCGGTTGCACTCGTTGCAGAGACTGCAGAAGAGCTGCCATGCTTGACCGGACACGCCATGTTTACTTGAAAGCGGTATCACTTTGAAATTATCATTTTTAAATTATTTCCAGGCACGGGATTGCCTTGCTGGAAAATAATGGCAAATAATAAGAGAAAAGAAATTGTTTGGGAGAGAGACGTTGCTGACGATGGAATGCAGGACGCTTGGAAAATACATGGAAATTACGGGTGCGACAAAAAAATTTACTTTCGATCTACTGAATTTCATCGTGGCGAACGATTTCGTGCGAAAAATGAGCGTGTCCTTTAAAATGTCAATTAATTTCTGAATCGTTAAAACGTTTCGTATTTTTTTTTTCACGTTTAAAAAAATAACGGCCGTTCGACTCGAAAGCATTGCCTTCACGTATCCCTTTTCCATTTTCTTGTGGAAAAATCTGTCCAAGTTGCATATTTTCTACCGTATGCGCTAACGTTATTTAAAATAATTCGAGGATTACATTTGAAGCGTTTGATTGATGAGAATTGCGTAATTCGTTTCAAGTATTGTCCTCGAATTGTAAGAATCACGATACTAAGATTGTTGAGTTTAGTATTATGGCGGACGGAGCGCAACGAGGATCCGAGCGAAGAATTTCTCGAGGTATTGTTTCTGTGCTAAACGCTGCCTTTTTTCTCACTTAATTTCAAATGTAATCGGAGCCTTTTTTTAATAATTAAAGTACTCCATGTAATATTACATTAACTGTCGTTTTGTGCGATTCCATACGCATATGTTGAACTAAATAAATTAAGAATGACTCGAATTGGTCGCCATCTTTTTACGTTGCGTAATTTAGTTTTTTTTTTTTTTTTTTTTT